GGAAAGAGCCCCTTCAGAGAGGACAGACGAGCGGATGTCCCTTGCTATGGGCTGACACAGCCCCAGGCCAGGGCCAGAGCACATGGCTAGACATACAGGAGGCCCTGCAAATGCCCCTCCGGCCTCCCTCCGGGCCTTCTTCCTAAAGGACAGCTCATGGGCCACTCAGCCCCTGGGCCTGATGCTCTCTGGAGCCCCCTGGACAACTGTTCCCCAAAGTGTGGGGCATGTCCTATGGTGGCTGGCAGGGAGGTTCTGCAAAAAAAAGCCTTCTGGCACAGACAGCTCACCGAGAGCCCAGATCATGCGCTGCTCTGGTGCCAGATGTGCATGCCACTGCCTTGGCCACGGTCACGTCTGTTCACAGATGGGGGGGGTCACAAAGGTGGCAGAACAGTGGCCCCAAGCCTAACCCACAAACTTGTGGAAGTGACCTTCCTGGGGTAAAGGGTCTTCGTGGAAGCCAGTTAAGGGTTCCAGCATGAGATAATCCTGGGTGTAGTGGACCCGAAACTGAACATGTGTCCTGGGGAGAAAAAGGCAGGGAAGACTTGACTCCCAGTGACACGGGGGGAGGCCCGTGACAGTGGAGGCAGAGAAGGACTGATGAGGACGCAGGCCAAGGACACCAGGCACCACCAGCAGCTGGAGAGGCAGAAGGAGCCCCCCTAAAGTCTGGGGACTTAGAGTGAGCCCCTGAACTGTAAGATAATAAATGCAGGTTCTTTTAAGCCACTACATCCACAGCAACTTCCCTGCAGCCCTGGCCAACCGACGCACACAGCACCCAAAGGGGAGCAGTCTTCGATGGCCGAGACGGACCTGCCCTCCAGCCTGTCTGCGCGGGGCCCGTCAATCCCTGACCCTGAGCCTTCCCCGCATGGCCCCGCCAGATGCCCCCTATTCTATTCTCCCTATGTCAGAAACCCAGGAGAGGCCTCATCTCTGCAAAGAAAACTTCCTCTTTGCATTACTCCTTGCGCTAAGGCGAGTGGCTCCAACACGGAGCAGCGAGTACACTTATCGCCGCGAGCCGCTGCTATGGCACCCGGTGCATGCCAGTCTTCACACGTGTGCTTACCGCGCCAAGAATCCGAAGCTGCCCACACCATCGCCTGCTCGCAAGCTCGTGAAGCACCGTGCCCACAGCCACACCTGCACCTGCATGTTGGGACCCTGGGTCTGTGAGGCGGGGCGTCAGCCGCCATGACATCTCACCGGGAGAGCAGACAGACCCCCAACCTCATGCACAAGACGACCAGAAGAGGGTGGGCAGCGCATCTGTCCTCACGCTCCGCCACGTCGACTGAGAGCAGAGGTGCCGTCCCCGCCCGTCAGGGCACAGCGCAGAGCTGCAAGGTGCTGGGAAGAGCGCGGTGGGCAGCTCCACCCTGCCACAGCAGGGTTCCCTCCCAACACTGGTCCCTGGAACCTCTGGCCCCCAGAATGCCAGCCCGCACCAGTGCCTCCTCGGAGTTCCATCCCAGCTCTTAGCAGAGTTCCACCTGAGACAAAGGAAAATTCCAGGAGTGGGCTTGATGGGGCGATGGAGAGGGCAGGGTTCACAGAAACAAGGAATAAAGAGCTGGCCAGCCAGGCATGCATGGGCCCCCAGGACTCCGGGGGTCACGGCCCCAGCTTCTCAGCATCCAGGTGCCCGGAGCTGTGCTCTGCACCGAGAGGGTTTCAGGCTGGACCTGGAACCCACCTATGGACTGCACGGGAAGGGCTCTCAGGGAGAAAGGAGGAGTGCACAGGGGACACTAGTGCCACCTGCTCCGGCCACAGCAAGGCCCCACGACGGCAGAGCTCCCGGCATCCTCTGGCCCTTTTACTGGGCCGCCCCTTGCCCTGGAGGTGCAGACCAGCATTTAGCCCTGACACGCCCTGCAGGGTGGCCTTAGAACCCCCACACAGCCCAAGGCTGTCCCATTAGGTGAGAAGGGGCCGATAAAGCGGGGGAGCCGCAGGGAGTGGACACAGAGCAAAGCTGGTTCCCCATCATCGTCCCTCTGCTCCTCTGCCCTACTGCCCCAAGCCTCTCCCACATGGCCCATGACCTTGACAGTCCTTAGCCACAGCCATCTCTTCTTCTACAGCTGGCCTTGCAACTGTGAGCGGATGTCTACCTCGGTTCAAATCCTCTGGAGGGCCTGAGCGTCCTTGCCTTTGCCTACCATGGAGGGCTTTGTGGGGCTGGGAGCTGGGGAAGTGGGAAGCTGCCTGTAGGGGGTGCAGGAGCTACACAGAGGTGGAGGAAGTGGTGCCCAGGAAAACTGTCCCCCAGGACCAAGACATCTGCCATCAGACAACTCAGGGTCAGCCCTTGGGCCAAACAACAATCAGCCACAAAGGGACGGTAATTCCGTCCGCTGGCAGGAGGGCCGCCCATCACAGATGCTCTTCATTTTTCCCAGTCAACACTCGGAGCCAGGCTGAGGCTGGGCACGTTACTGCTGGGGAGAAGGGCGAAAGGGAGGGGAGATGGAGGCCCAGAGAGGGCAAGCATTTGCCCTGGTGCCCAGCGATCGCAGCCGAAAACAGCTCCTTGTCCAGGAAGCGGCCCCCATTAGTGCCCTTTACTTGGAGCAGGGCCGTGAGTGCCTCTCAGCGCTGCGTCTGCCCACGCGTACTTCTATCACACGCTGGCTCCCGGCCATGCTCTCGCCCACTCCAGCCCACAGTGGCGCCACACCGAGAACCGAGTGAGTATTCTCCCTGGGGGTGGGTGAAGGAGCACTCGGAGTTCTGACTCTCGTGTTCCTGGGCCCGGAGGGACCCCGCCACCTGGGGCCACACTCAAGGGTGCTTATGTGAGCTCAGCGTCCGACCCCCTCGCCCCATCACCCGGTCGCGGCCCCTGAGACTCGCCCCTGCCTCAGCCCCTGACCCGAACCAGCTGCACCTGGAGGCTCCCACTCACCCGCAGCCCCGGCACCCACGTAGGCTCAGTACTTCACCTGCCCAGCCTGAATTCGCCACCAAAGCAAGCATTACCTGCCATCTCTGAGGCCACCAGCCCGGGCGTCCTGCGTGGGTCCAACCCCTCGAGGCGGGGAGCAGGGCAGCGTCTTCTCGGCACCAAGGGGGGCCTGCGTCGTCTGCTGGCACGCAGCTGGACCCGACTCTGCCAGAAGCTCCCCTTGTACCTGCGGGCCAGGAAGCACGTCTGCAGTGACCAGCCTCAAGAGCATGTCCAGAAAATCCGACAAGTCCCTGGGCGAACTCAGGGCTAGGCCTCTAACTAGCTGCTCAGCTCTGAGCAGCTCTGGCCCCCACTCCCCACCCCCGCCCACTGTCCTTGCTCAGCCTCTCACATGGGAGCCCTTATTATTTCACCAGAAAAAGCGAGAAAGTGTCCTCCGTGGGGCAGGTCATGCTGCAGTCTCCTCACCGTCTCTCTGCCCTTTCAGGATTTGGGGCACACGCACATACCTGTGCCCAGGGGGTTTCTCAAGCCACAAGGTCTGAGACAAACTGTAGGGTCAGCCAGATGGGTTCTGGTGACGTTAACCACAGGCCATGGAGCCAGCGCAAGCCTCTATCTGTATTTCCACGTAGACATTTCTATTTCTGCGGCCGCATGCCCTCTGTAACTTACACAGCACGTCCGTGGAGTAGAACACGGATGTAGCGTGTGAGTGAACGATAATTTACCAGGGTGCAGACACAGATCGCGATGAGGTCCCACTCCACTCTGCAGTGCCACACGCCCGGAGCTCTTCTGAATGACGGCGCCCTGCTGCAGTGGCCCTTCCTTCCCAAGCCTCAGTTTACAGGAATTCTGCTCCCGTGGCCCCCCCAAGCCTTCTGCAGAGGATGAGGACGCAGTAAGCCTGGA